ATAAGTAATATTTAAATATATTTATTATATATTTTTAAAATATTTTTCTAAAAATATATACTATTTTTACCAGTGTTTGCAGATTATTTAGTTTATAATGATGGGTTTTAAAAAGGCAAAGACTTACAAATTAACCAGAATTAGATTGTTTTAAAAATGTAGATCAGATCTTCAATATTTTGATTATTTTGATTGCTGTTTATAGCATATAACTAGAACTTTTTTTTACTATAGCTAGGGTACTTTAATATATATAAATGTATAATATATAAAAATATAATTATTTGGCACTTGTTTATATGTTTGATTAAAAAATAATTAAGAAATTAATCAAGTAATTTATCAGCTATAGCTGGCTATAGCTAGCTACTAATCAATAGTCAATAATAGCTAACTGATAGCTAACCTAATCTAGCTAATTAAACCTATCCATACTTATAATAGTGTTATTTATAATTTTAGATCATATATATAATTATAATTATCTACTAATAAGCAATTATAATTTATATATATTGTACATATTACTAAGATTTTTTTATTTTAAAATTTTTTTATTTTTCAATCAATAAAAGTATATATGATATAAATATTTATTTAATTATTACAATATTATATCAATAAAATATTTAATATTTAATATTATTATTAATTTCAATTTATTTAGTTTTAATCAAGAAAAGAATTCTAATAATACAAATAAGTTTGTTAAATTCTATACAACTTACTCTTATTATAAAGAATTCTTGATATAGTAAAAACTAATTAAAACTATAGTATAGTAAAATTAAACTAATATTAATATATATAAAATTCTTTATATATAAATTTTTTTATTATATTAATAAAATAGACACTTTATTATAACAAGTGTAAATTTTTTTTGTGCATTTCAATATTTTTAGCAACTGTGGCATTTGTATTATTAAGTGGAGTATTTTTACTAGAACGTGTTTTATTTTTAGAATTATCTAATTCTTTTGAATATAGTAAGTATACTAGAGCAGATATTCAAGTTACTTGCTAATGTTTTTATTTTTCTGTTTTCTATATTTTTTTTTTGTACTAATCAACTCCACTTCATTATTACACAAACATGTTGCCAATTTTTGGCAAATTTTTAGTATTAATTTATTTGATTGCCTATTCAAACAATACTTAATTTAACTCAATATATAAGAACAAGCCTTTTCTTTTAGATCTTTATCAATATTAGCACTATTGTAAAATATATTATTAATATTAGTTTTATTTTCAAAAATATAGCAAGAAAGATACTATATGTTATTTTACTATTATTATAATCTTTTAAAATAAGAAATAAAGATGTAGTATAGCATTCAAAATTACTCTATATTAATTGTTATTGCTGGCAATTAGGTATAATAAAAACCTATTAAATGCAATATTTGTATAATAAGAACTAATTTCTAAGAAAAGCTTGATAACTGCAAACCCAACTATCAATATTTGTAAAATATAAACTTAGATCAGTTATTTCTTCATTAATACTTTATTTTCTTTTACCCTTTATAAGCATATTAGTATTAATATTTACATTTTGGTTATTTCTTGTACTAGCTATATTTTATTCTTTTTTGAAATTATCTAACTACTATAGTGCTGTAATGCTAGTCATAATTTGCAAAAGTTGTTTTTTTTGTACTAGTATTATCTTATTAATAATTATTCATAGCAGTAAATCAAGCTTAAACCAATTAAAGCAATATAAATACAGTTAAACCTCTATAATTGCACCATCTATAATTGCACACCCTCTTTAAATAAACTCTTAATTCTGGTCTCAAGCTTGAAAAATAATAATAATTTATACCCTCTTTATTCTAAATATGCAAGAAATTTTAAAAATATTTATATTAAAACACCCTCTATAAATGAACACCCTCTCTAACTTAACTAGTTTAAAAAATTTTAATTGGAACTATAATGCTAAATGCACACAAATTTGGCTTATTTATATACTAGTTATAGCTTAATTTTTATATATAAATAATTTTTGCAATAGACATATGTATGTAACTAAATGATGTCATAAATTTGTTATAAATAATTTTTACTATATAAAGATAATAAGCATCAAAAATTTAAATAAACATGTCTCAAAAGCACGAATCTTTAACAGATAATCAAAAGTATGAGTTTTGCAAAAATGTTAAAAATAATAAAAAAAAACTAGAGCTGAATATGTACAATGGATTGAACAAAAATGGAAAATTAAAGTTAGTTTATCCATTATTACACGAATTCTTCAAACAAAGGATAAATATCTTGCAACAAAAATAAAAAATCTGGATGCTAAATGATATAAACCTGTCACTTTTTCAGAATTAGAACTTGCACTTAAGGAATTTATATTAGTTAATCAAGATCAAACTATTTTAAGTAATGTGATAATTATTAAAAAGGCCAAATTACTAGCAAAAGGATTTAAAATTTCTGAAGATCAGCTTAAATTTTCTAATGGATGATTTTAAAAGTTTAAAGATCATAATGAAATTCATCAAATAGTACTTCATAAAGAGGCAACATCTGCTAATTATGCTAAAATTGAGGAAATCTTACCAATTTTAAAAGAAAAATGTAATCATTACCCTTTAGAATACATCTATAACATGAATAAAACAGGGCTTTTCTATCATTTTTTTATTTATTTATTATTATTATTTATTATTATTATTGTTATTATTAAACAAAAATAATTTTAATTACAGGTTAGAACCAGACAAAACACTGCAACATGATATATTTCAGGTCATAAAAAAAAAACAAAAAATGAATATCAATTGCTTTGTGTACAAATACAGATAGATCCCACAAATTAAACCCATTAGTAATTGGAAAATATGCTAACCCATGATGCTTCAAAAATATTAACATCAAAAACTTACCTATGACATATTGTAATAATGCTAAGGCGTAGATGCTTGCAGTTTATTTTCAGGATTGGTTAAAGGAATTTGATAGACAGATGAGACTAAAATATAGAAATCAATGAGTGCTTCTCTTGCTTGACAATTGTTTAAGTCACAAAATTGAAGGTGTAAGATTAAATAATGCTAATGACTACTTCTCCTGTCGCATACTACTTCAGCAATCCAATCTATGGATGCTGGGATAATAATGTTTTTAAAAAAAATACTACCATCGCTTTCAACTTCAGTAAGATATATTAATTTATTATTTATTGTTATTTTATTGTAATTAAAATACTAATTCAATTAATTTATTTACCTACACATTTATTTATTTTATTCTTCTATTTATTGATTCATTTAATTTATTTATTCACACTCTTATTTAAATTTATTTTTTGCTTACAAATTTATTTAAATTTTTTTTTACTTAATTTCTTTTACTTATGTACCCATTTTTAACTTTTTCAATTGTTTATTTGTTTTCAGTTTATTATTTTCTTTATTATATTTATTTGCTTCTATAATAATTTATAATTATATTTGCACTAAATTAATTTCTTTAACATTCTTATATATTCTTTTTATTTCAATATATATATATTTATTTATTTTGCTACTCATTGATCCATCTGTTTTATTTCATTCTTTTATTTATTCGCTTTATTATCTATCTATTTATTTATTTTATCTCTATTCATTATTTGCTCACTTATTTATTTATTCATCCATTCATTTATTTGCTTATTGATTCATTTATTCGCTTATTCATATAATCTATTATTTATTATTTTTTTTGCTTATCTATTTAATATGCTTATTCATTCATTAATTTATTCATTTATCTACTTGCTTATTATTCCAATTAACCACTAATTTGCTTGTTTATCTATTCGTTTATTATTTATTAATCCACTCATTCACCATTTATTTACTTCGTTCATTTACTTATACATTCTTTAATCTGTTTCTATTTATTTACTTATTCCTAATTTCATTAATTTATAAATTGTTAATTTATTTGATTTGTTCATACACTTATTTACTGACTTATAAATTTATTTTTGCTCTTACCTTATTTATTCTTATGTCTGGAATTGCTACTTATACTAATTTAATACCCTTTATCTATTTATTTATCTATAACATTTTAGATAGATGTTGGAACAGGTCAAAGTGAGTAACTTAATTCAAAACTTGAAGATGGACATCCTTCAGGCTATCTGTTATATTATTAAAGGTTGGGAAGAAGTCACCGCTGAAACTATAAAGAATTGTTGGCACAAAATAGTGATTCTTCATATTAGTGCTGATCTCATACTATCTAGATAATAACCTGTATTATTTGTTAAATATTATGTATACATTTATGTATGTATATATATACGTACATGCAATAAATAGTAATTCTTTTTTAGAAACTATCCTGTGTGTGACAAACTTATTGAAGTGCTTAACTCCTTGTCTTTTCCAAATACGATAGAAGTTGATGAATTTTTAAACATTTCTAATAAAAATATTATCTATAAGGTTCCTGATGATAAAATGATAGAAGAACTTGTTAATACATTTAGTTCTGAAGGTACAAATAAATCAAGTAAGATGAATAATTTTGATGAATTAGATGATAGTATTGAACTACTAATTATTAGTGCTACTGCTGTATTAGAGAATTTAAAGAGTATTAGATTGTTTTTACTTCAACAAGATGAAGTTAATGAGCAACTAAAATTAGTCGATAGTTTTAAAAAATTTATTAGTAAGAAAAAAATTAGTTCAATGGCACAAACTAATATAGATATGTATTTTCATTAAATAATATATATAAAAATATATATATATAGTTTGTAATAAAGAAATACAGTTTTAGCAGCAAAGAATATATAAAATAATTTAATAATAATGAATATAAATTAATAACAATAGTATATAGTAATAATTTATTATAAAAAAAATATTTTTCTTTAAATGCACACTCTCTATAAATGGTCCTTTATGACTGGTCCCAAGCAGGGATGATAAATGACCTGAAATGACCCAAATAACCCAAATGATAAATGATCAGTCATTGGGTCATTTCAAAATCAAATGACCCATAGAAGGTCATTTAACATTTGTCAACTTATAATCTAATGCTTTTTAGCCAATCAAAATTGATTAT